TATTTAAAAATTTATTTATAATATTATATATTTATTTATTTAATATTATATTTTATTTTATTTTATATCACATAAAATTATAAAATTATATAATTTTATATAATATTATAATTATAACATTAACTTGATGTACATAACCAGAGTAGGACAGCAAGGACAACTCAAAAGTTCATTCTATTTCTATAGTTTTCTGGGGATGCTAAAATTACAATCTGGGGAGCCCTTCTTGCACCCTGAAATGCCAATCCCATCCGCTAAGTTCCAGGGCCGCCGAATTTCTGAAAATGTAGGTCCAGTCCTCTGTTTTAATTTTTAAATGGTCTATCTGGTTCTACATATGGGCCTCAGGCCCCAAACGTCAATTTTTTCGGTCCGACCTACATTCCACTTAGACCTAGTTGGTTTGGTTGGGCTATTATTGATGCATTTTCAAAAATAAAAACTAAAAACCTGTTTGGTGGCTTAAATTTATTTGCAGCTCTGTTTTAATTTCTTTCTCTAATGGTAGTTTTAAAACAAATTTATCATTTATGTATAAAAAAATTAACCTTCATTTGACTACATTTTGACCTTTTTTTTTTTTTTCTGAGTGAAGTGTAAAAATTCATTTATCCAATAAAACTGTCATTATACAAATCAGCAGCCAGAGTACCTGGACATAAAAACAAAACTATTACAGCATAGATAACTTAAAAAGAGAAAACTGAATTTCAAAAATCTCTCAAGCCCCCAATTCTGTGCAATGTTCTGAGCCAGAGGAGAAGAATGCCGCGTAGCAAAGCCTAGAATCCTATCTCGCACATCCCTCTGAACTTTAGTGACATATTTTGACCAATTATTTCACATTGATCATCAAGAATCTTAATTCACTTTACACAGTAAGGGACAAATGAGTGTTCCTGGACTTTTCTGCTGAGAGCATTGCAGGGGAAAGGAGAAAAGACAGCTTTCACTAAGTTATACATTAGCATGATTGCCAGAACATTTATGGCGTTGTGTTGCATTTGTTTCCCATAATCAGTACTGATGTTTCTTCAAAAGGAGTGAGCTGGTATGTTGTGAGAAAGAAATGACTTCAGTCATTTAGTTGTGAGAATCATAATCATAAATTACTACTAATGACAAATTGACAATTAAGATTACTTTACTGCTGTTGGGATTATGTTTTGTAAAAAATCTCTATTTGCCCAAGAGAATGTGGTGACTAATGATTTCACCTTGGTAATTCAGGAATCTTAAGTAACTCCTCCGGGTGGATGGCACCAAAGCAAAGTTGTATGTTCTAAAACTGCAGAATAGAAACTTCTTTGTTCCTTGACATCAATGATGCTGCTAACTCACAATTAAAAACAAATACAAAGGATTATTGGGACGCAGATCACATCTTGCCATTTCCCGTTGCAGTCCTAGTCGTGAACACATGCCCTTATGGTAAAGCCTCAGTTCCACAAGAGGGTTTTGGATATTGATTCTTTGATAAATTAAGTTGCAAATTATCATGCTTTCTGATAGATCGAGTAGATTCTTGTTGCAATACTGGTTTTACGTATCATCATCTCAATACCTAATGGATGATCCTAAAGTCCATGGTCAAAATTTTCCTTGACATTGAATCTTCAATTATTGACGTAACAGCCACCTAGCTGTTTTTCTTTTGGGTCCAACCTAAATTACGCCTAGTTGGTTTGGTTGGGCTGTTCTTGATCCATTTTTCAAAATGAAAACAGTTTGGTTGGGCCAAAATCAAAGATCGAGGCTTTTTACTTTTAGGTAAGTTAAGTGGACTATTAAATGGATCAAGACAGGCATTTCAAACATACTGAGAAAACTGAAGCCTCTATCATATATGGATCTCATCTCTGTACAATTTGTCGTACGCCACACAACTTGAGCTAGAAAAAGAATAAAAGAAATAGAACATTACACTGGGAATACCATTTTTGGGTGTATCTGCTCTGTAAGAAAGTTGGAGAATATACGTTAGGTAGAAAAAATCTACCATGTGTGTCACATGTATCCTTCGATAAAAAAATTAAAAAAAAACTACCATGCGGCATGCACATAAATCTCCTTTCTCCGACGAATGCTACTTATGATGGTAGTGTAGCTATTATGGAGAGGGGCTGATTTGTCATGGTTTAAAGTGTACGGACTGACTTGCCACAACATTGTAAGTACAGGAGCTGAATTGCACCTTCTGGCTTATAGTTATGATACTATGTCTGTACCATCATTTGTCTTGGTTTTTGTGGGACAATACAAAACGCCAAAGACGGTTAGGACCATATGCAAATAACGATAGTATACCAGCAAGAACAATTTGAGAATTCCTTCCATAGGAAGTCAACCTCTTATGTCTTATGTTCTTTTTTTTTTTTTTTTT